CTGTCTCTCGCGAACGAATTCTACGACGAAATCAAATTCCAAGGTGGAAGACGATCGCCTGCGATTCAAGTCTGTGTCCTTGCTTTCGCTCGGTTTCGCGCGATCGGAGCTGCAAACGGATCGCGCGCGGAAATAAAAATTGGCGTCGTCGGAAACAATGACGGTGATTTATATCGTCGCGCCTAATTCGCTCCGAGCTCCCCCTCCCCGCGTCGCGGGACAAATTTTCCGGCAAAGTCGGATAAACGCGCGCGGTAGGATTTGACGCGCCGCACCCCCCGGCCTTCTCCGCGATTATTTTTACATTTCGCTCACGAAAGGATCGCGAGATATACGTGAAATAAAATGTCGCGGGGAAGGTCACGCAGCTGCATTTATAATGTCACGTATTCGCCAGCGCGAGATGCACCGCTTGTTTCGCAAGCAGATCGGAAAAGTAACGCGTAGAAAATAATACGCCGGCGATCACGCGTTCCGGTGTTATTCGCGAGCGCGCGCGTCGAGGATCGACCTGCATAAAGGCCCGTGTCCACCTTGCTGGAACTTGGTCCAAGTTCCAGTTTCGAGAATGGAATAGCTGCAAGTTGATTGGATACGCATTTCTCGAAACTAGAACTTGGACCAAGTTCTAGCAACCTCGTCACAGGCCTAAAGGCTAATATTACATTTGTCGTATGACAAGCTTTTCAAGCGCGTTGATTGGCTGCGAAATAGAAAATTTCCAGAGACTCGACAACTTTTCTATTCCGCAGCCAATCGGCACGCTTGAAAAATTGGTCGTACGACAAATGTAATATTAGGCTAATTGTAAGACCGAGGGATAAACCGCTGAGGGCATTGTGGTGTACAGATTTGCGGCATTACTGGGCATTAATAGACATTTGTTGGGCATTAATAAAGATAAAATAAGATTAAGTAATGCCCACTGGGAAGCGCCTTTGATTTTTGAGAAAGGGGTGCCAGCGAGAAATACTTTTTTAATTTTTTTGGCAGATTTGAATAAAATAATATCGTTTTGTGAAACAATGCTTGGAACAATCCGAGGGGGAAACCGCTGAGGGCATTGTGCTGTACAGATTTGCGGCGTTACTGGGCATTACTAGGCATTTTTTGGGCATCAGTTTGGGCATTAGGCCTTGACGAGGCATCATAAAGATAAAGTAGGATAAAACGAGATAAGTAAGATAAAATAAGACCATAAGATAAAGTAATGCCCACACAGAGAGAACGGTTTCTTTGAATTTAATAAATTTTATTAGATTCAAAGAAATTTATCTTTTGGAATAGTCCAAACAAACCAATTGTTGGTTCAACAAATATGATTATTTGACCTTTCAAATAACAAATAGCTTTACTTCAAATAAAAGATTTGTTTGAAACGAAAGGAATATTCCCTTTAATCTAAACGATATTATTGTTTCATTCAAACAGCATTATCGTTTGATAGAAAATATGTGAAACAAATGTATATGCATACATCTTTCTCTCTCTACATTAGAATTTTCCCTTCATTAAAAGAAGAAAGATAAACACTGAATTAGTACACTATGTTCAGCCATAATAAAAAATAGACCATTAAATGATTAAACTGCGTCTGCTGATGCGGTCGCTTATATATCATAGCTGCCGCGATTTTACTTGCGAGTTCGGCGGCCATCTAGTGGCAGCACCAAACTTTATAAGCGCCTGGCCAAATAATATAATTATTTCATTGAAAGATACTACTTCAAATAATAGTGTTTTTTCTATCAAATAATACAGGTTGTTTGAATAAAACAACAAAATTCTTATTCAAAACATATGTATAATGTTTCGTATAAGCATATATTGTTTTAATGAAACAAATTTCAACCAAATAAATAGGAATACTAAATCCAAAGAAACCTTTCTCTCTGTGCACCGGGCATCAGTGGGCATTGGTGTACACGATTTTGGTCAGCGGTTTACCCCTCGGCTAAGACAGTCACGCGGGAAGGGGAAAAACAAGTATTAAGCTTAGCTCCACTTGGACGCGCGCGTTTTCTCGCGGTTTATTTACGCGCAAGGTTACCTAACGC